AGCAAGCTCTGCACTACAAATAAAGAGAAGTGATCCACCCACCAATTTTTACGGCATGCAGCCCATTTAGCTGATTAACAACAATTGGAAACAGAAGCTTAGGAATTAGCCACATACAAAACGCAAATAAAAGGACTGCAACGCTACTTGAATTTGCAATTTAACAACTTTGGAAGCAGTGGAGCCTTTTACATTCTTTCAATATGAACAAAGTGTAAAGAAGCAAAGAATGAAAAATGAAAGCAAGGGATCGTAGGGAAGAGAAGGTTTCTCTTTATAATTATTTCCCTTGGGGCAGGAGAGAATGAGGAGAGCTGCACATCAATGTTTTACCTTAGGATAATGAGAAAACAGGACAGCATAAAAAAAGCATAAAAAAAACTTCTTCAGTTTGGGAGAGAAAAACTACATGTCTGGCAACGTTATACAATAGGAAGTAAATGAGCAATTACAAATAAGAGGAATTTAAATGGAAAAAAGACAATAAAAACAGGCCCAATTAATAGGCCTAATTGTGAGAAAGTATAAATAACTAAAGTTAATAGTGTAGCTGCCATTTCGGCATTGCACAGAGTGCGAGAACACAGAGCAGACTGTATTTTAAAAGCCTCCAAATGTTTCACCCATATAATATATCTTAAAAATAAATTTCCCATGCTTCACATTTTGTGACACTGCTCTGTAGGTTTATGGCCAGACTGTGGATGAAGTTGGAATGTTACTGCAGAAAAGTCCTTTCTTCCCGAAAGTCAAATGTGTGCTCCTATGCATAAAACATGAACAGCCAAAATGTTCACCTGAAAGCTACTGTTTGATATTATGGCTCGTAACTGCATATAATTAATGACAGTCTTTTGACTTTGATTCCAACAATGATTTCTTAAAGCAATGAGCATAACTGTGGGTCAGATAGCATCTATTAACTAAGAATCATTTAAGAAAGGAGAAATATGCCCATGTAGTTGTGATTCAACTTTAATGAGCCAAAGATGGGTTGATTTGGGGGTTTTATTGTGAGCATTATGGCGAAGCTGTGATTTGTGAGTTTGTTTATGAGCCTGTAGTCATAAATGACTCCATCCACCTGGATAAGTCATTACAGCATTTGCTGAATGACCTTCCACAAGCTGGCAACTGGCTAATACATTTTTTTTAGTTTTTGAAGTTTTTGCTCAAGTTGAACAAAGTTAAGAAATCCTGTCTGGAAAAAATTACTGTAAATGTGTAAGATTTATCAACTTAGCAAAAATATATTGCTTAGTTTAACTTCTTTTGCATTCTGTGCCTCAGTGAAGCCTTTGCCTGATCAATAAATCCAGGGAGGCACCAACATAGGGAAGAGCTTTACTGTAAAGCATTAAAAGGAAGCATTGACAGCATGTGAAGTCTAACTCTAACATTTAATTAATCATGGGTGAGAGGTATTCAGACTACCGTGACCGAGCCTTTTAGCAGAGTTTTTAAGTTCAATAGTACTCCTGGCCTCTTTACTCAGTAATAGTACCCGTCTTTTGATCTTAAAAAGCACATTAAACTTTTACTGATGTCAGATGAGATGTGTCTATTCTTATTACTGCTTGTTTGGCCTAATTTAATTCCGCCCCTTTAACATTAATCAGCAGGTCCGTCCACAGTGGTGCCAGTGCTATCCACACTGTTCAATTCTTCCTTTGATATTATTAGACATCAGACATTAGTGAGTGTAAACAGAACATTCTATATATATATATATATATATATATATATATATATATATATATGTATAATGTTGTTTAAACCCCCCCCCCCATTTATTCAGGGTAATTGGTTCGCCGAGCTGGTGATGTTATTTGTGGTGCTGGCATCCTCAATGCATTTGTTGATGTAGGCTGACACAGCCATGGCATACTCTTCAGTACTGATCTTGTTGTCATATGTGACCATGTTCCAGTCAGAGCATTCAAAACAGTCCTGGAGTTTCTCAATGGCCCCCTCAGTCCACACTCTGACCTCCTTCACTGTTGGTTTTGCCCTGATTAGCTGCGGCCTGTATGCAGGAATTAGTATGACAGATAGGTGATCTGTTGACCCAAGGTGGGGTTGGGAGCTGCCCAGAATGCATCTTTAATGTTAGAGTAGGCTAAATCCAGAATGTTTTTTCCCCGAGAAGCAAATTCCACATGTTGGTAGAAAAGAGGGACCACAGTCTTTAAGTTAGCGTAGTTAACATCACCAGCAATGATAAAAAATGTCCTCTATGTTAGCAGGTTGAAGCTCATAGATAGTCTGGTATAGAATTTTCATAGCCTCTTTTGTATTAGCGCTCGGGGGGACATATACAGCAGAGATGCTAACCACAGTGAACTCTCTAGGCAGATACAGTAGAACGGTCTGCAGTTAACAGCAAGAAACTCGATGTCTGGAGAGTAGAAGCTGGTGGACGATTTTTACACCAGTTGTTGATGTAAACACAAAGTCCCCCTCCTCTAATTTTACCGCTGAGTTTGCTGTTTCTCTCGGCACTGTATAATGTCCGGTATCGATGAGTGAAGCCAAGACTCTGTCAGGGTGATGGCTCAGGACTTACTAATCTCCTTTTTTGAAGAAAGTTCGAATCAAAGATTATCCATTTTGTTTTCCAGTGAGCGGACATTGGAGAGCAGGAATGATGGGACCAGTGGTCTGTAGGAATTCCCTCTTAGCTTCGCTGTTAGCCGGTATCAGCAGCCCCTCTTTCATCGCCTAGCACACCACATCCTCTGTTCTTCCTGTGGCCTGCTCCATGAGCCCGCTGTTCTGTTCTCATCCGTCCGAAGCACTGCGTTGCTTTTTAAATGGTCAAGAGATGCTGTATTTAAGAGTCCAGAGAAAACATTTTGTGACTGTAGCTCCAGCAGCATATTTTGTGGAATTGTCAAGAGATATATCGGGCTGCTGCCTACAGGTGCCGCCCCGATGTCCAGAATGTAGCTGAGTGATGTGTAATAGCTCACTAGGCATGATCAATAACAAGTATCAAGGTATCCATAGGCAGAGATGACAAAAGTACTTACTTTCCGTACTTGAGTAAAAGTACAGATACTTTTGTTAAAAAATACTCTGGTAAAAGTGGAGTGTAATTAAACTTCTTTACTCAAGTAAAAGTAACAAAGTACAGGCTTGTAAATTTACTTAAAGTATAAAAGTAAAAGTAGAAACCACCTTTTTCATGCCGTTGCCTACATTTTAAATGGATGTCTGCCAATAGGACTAGATCTCCGTTGTGTTCATTTTCAAACATCTCGTCGTCCATACTACTATGCTAACGCCACCGCCACCAAGCTGCAATGATTTGCCGCGAATGAATACCGCCGAATCTGTCGATTCATCTTGTAGTGGTGCGTCAAATGCAACGTAGATTCCCATCCAATTAGATTGAATTTGGTATTGATGACGTGAAAAATAATAATGGTAAATCCATTGAAATGATTCAAAACTAAAGTAACAAGCCAATTTTTTAAAATGTAAGGAGTAGAAAGTACAGATATTTGTGTAAAAATGTAAGGAGTAGAAGTAAAAAGTCGCCATAAAAATAAGTAGTAAAGTAAAGTAAAAATATCCGAAAAATCTACTTGAGTACAGTAGTATTTGTACTTTGTTACTTCCCATCTCTGTCCAGAGGGTTTTACAACAAAATGTGATTCAAGTCTTATAGTAAAGGGGAGCCTAGAGAAAATATCACCCTATTCTCTGGCTGTAACATGTTGCCTCCCACTGACAGAAGAGAAGACTAATGCATTTGTTAATTATTTACAATATAGAAAAAAGTGGCTAGGCTGTTACTCCAAAATTATATAAAAAAACACAAGGCCACATCAAAATTGACCACTACTTTTCTAGAAAGAGAGTTAAGGTGCTGGAAATTAGTGCAGATCTGCTAAGTATTGCACTCTGGTTCTCTAAAATGAAAAGCTAAACTTATTATTAAATGATCTAATAGAGGGGAATTACATGTACAGCAGAATGGCACTAGTGATTTTAGATCTCGGTAAAGGAACAATCGATCCCCATTTTTTTCTGTTCCTATCAGATTCTTGAATTAGGATATCTGCACTGTTTGCTTTAAAGTTATAATCGCTACTGTTGAATTTTTTAAAAAGCAGGCATAAACTCCTCTTTACACGTAACTATATGTATGAATGTACATATGTGTATCTCAAAAGGCAATTTAGGCTAGTATAAGGCCAGAACAGGAAGTCATACTGTAAATATAGTGTGTTAACAGGACAAATTCCACCCTGAAACTAAATGTGCAATTTTAAGGGTTCAAACTGACTATTCATTAAATCAGACAGATTTGCATAAAAGGAAAAACCTTTCTGCTGTTTCAGAGTTTTACATGAAGTGAATACATCTGCCCCGATGGAAGAGCCCTATTTCCTCAGTATCCGGACCAGTATCAGGACTAATATCAAATGGGTACATCTCTAATTTGAGTTCTTTGTCACAATCGAATAAATGTATTTAAACAAAATGTTGAATTTTTCTCTTTTCAATGAAATGATATAATACTGCAAAAAAATATTTATTTATATAAGTGACACCAATAATTATATAAGTATAAATGTTGCAGTGCCTGATGAATCTTGAATGGAAATGTTAAACAAAGCTGTTAAGTTCCTGTTAACAGCTACTACCTTAAGCTGTTATTAGGAGCTGCCTGAAGAAAAGACAATTATTTTTTTATAAAGAGAGTGCAAAACTTAAAATGAAATGAAATGCAAATCTTTAGCTGTGCTTCTTCAAAGACAGTGGGGTGGTGGGCGTGGGGGCAGGGTTATGCTGCAGAGCAATACAAAACCACATCTAGGAGGACCCACGGAACTGAGCAGAGATAAAAAGGCTTTGAATAAGCTAAGTATTTACAGCGGCGGAATAATAATAGACAACAACCAGAACAAAATAAAACACGTGTTAGTGAATAATTAAGCGTTACAGTGACAAAGAGATTTGCAAAATCCAGCAGCCCGACTGGAGCTTACCGAACTGTAGAGCATGCCCTCGCCGTTCATGGCGATGTAGAAGCCGCTCTTTACCCCTTGGATGGCCACCACTCTTAGACCCACAGGAATAAGATTAAACAGGGCTGTTGAGCGGAGCAGATTGCAGTCAAGGCAGGAAGGCAAAAGGAGGCAAAGACAAAGGAGAAACATCAGATACAAAAGGACAGAACAGGACAATTGAGTTTGGTCTTAACTCTTGTAGACTATACAAGCTTTTATTTGTGTTTTTCAAGCGAACAGGACAAGGATAATGGGAATGCCACAGAAATTGCTAAAACACTTTGGAGATTGTTTTAAAATTGGTTTTGTGTTATCCATCTCTTTATAAAAACTCTTGAGATTTATATACAGGAGTTACACCAAAGGAACATTCCAATCAATAGTGGCACAATATATGGGTGGCTCAGGTTAATTACACAATAAAATTATTGTTTTAAGAAAATCACCATTGAAGTTCAAGGTTTACCAATGTGTTTTAATTTGTTTACAACAAAAATCACAGACATTTCAATACATTTGTGAAGCGAGAGACATTTCAAAAGCATTTCAGTATTTCCATTGCTCCCCATTCTCTCTCTTATCATTAGCTCAGACAAAGAAATAACATTTAAAAGTGTGTAACAGGAATAAAATAGATGATTCCTCTACTACAGTAGAATAGTTTAACAATACAAGCCTTAGAAAACTCCCCCTTTAATTTGAGTACATTTATTTTGTAAGTGGAAAAAAATCCCATGTTGAGAAATAATTGGTTTTAATTGAATTACACGTGGTAAGTGTATTTCTTAATTTTTTTACATTCAGAATTACAACACACACAACCTAATCGCTACTACTGGGATTTTTAAAGTTCTTTTAGTCAGTCAGCCTTATTCTGAAGCTGTGAAATGACATCACCCTCATTCTTTCAATATATTGATCAACTCTGTGACGCTGTCAAGCATCAAATTCAGGAAAAGGTTTCTAATATTTGCATATGAATTGCACATGATGGTTGACAAATTCTTGAACATGCATATTCTAAGAAAAACACATAAGAGGAAGCCCCACAATAGACTTTGTATATTGTGGGGCTTCTTCTACCCCAAGTTCTTTGCAGCCCTAAAATACAGTGTGGCATTCTGATTGAGGAAATTGTTCAAACCTGGGTAATACTGCACTCTTATTATTAAAAATACAGAGATAAAATGATCGAATAGCCGAAAGGCACATGTAGCCGAAAGGCACAAGTAGCTTGGGGAACTTTAGTTGGGATGCACCAATAAAACCAGTATGCAACTGTTTCGAACTTGCTGTAACTTTTAAAATTAGATAGATGCCTTAGAATGAATCTTCTGATGTTCAAGAGATCGACATGAAGGAAATACATCTGCCTCTATGATGCCCATTTTCAAAGATTGGTAACGATTGAGGAATACATAAAGCAGTCTCCTCACTGTCTTAACCATTTTTGTCATATTCTTCCCTACCTTGCCAACAAAAATGTTGGTGGTTATTTCTTCATTTGTTGGGTAAGGGTGCATATCCACAAGTCCCTTAATGAGGGACTCAGCATAAAGGTAAAGCCGAGGACAGATAGAAGATTCTGTCCACATGTCTGTACAATTATGGTGATTATAAACTTGACTGGAGCTTTAATATTTTGTCAATTATTGAGTAGATATTAAGATTTAATTGTAACAAGCACTCCAAGTGAGATGAAACAATCTGACAGATTAGGTGACCTGTGTCAGAAAATATAAATGGTCTGTCATTGAATCATTGAGAGGGGGAGGACTCTAAAGGATCAAGAGAAGAATTGTCAAAGATCCTTTTCTGTCTATGCACTGCAAAAACAATCCAGAAATAAGTAAAAAATGGCTTAAATTAAGTATATTTAGCCTTAATTTGAGCAGGTAAATAAGATGATTTGCCAATGGAATGAGTATTTTCACTCTTAAAATAAGATAGTTAGATAATATTTACTTGAAATAAGACGATAAAATAGTTTTTTCTTATTTTAAAAGGAAATTGTCTTGTTCCATTGGCAAAGTGTCTTACTTACCTCCTCAAATCAAGGAAAAACACACTTATTTTAAGAAAAAATAACTTATTGAGATTTATATTTTTTGCAGTGTGTTTTAACCTTGCGAAATACAAAATTTGACCAATTGTGCTGTTGCTTTCAACAATGCATACATGCATACAAATTAAAGGGTGCATTTTTCAAAATGTTTCAGCATTAAATGATGCTTCTGCTTAAAGGAATAGTACACCCAAAACATGATTAGCCTTCATTTTCTACTCACCCCCATGCTGAACAAAACTCTGGAGTACTTTTTTGATATCTCAAATGCATCTGGAGATCTGGGAGGCTTCTTGCTGTCTGCTGACATTCAAATAATGGAGGTCTATGGTGCCCGAGACAGAAAGGTCCACAAAAGTCCACAAAAACGTGTCAATATTCCTCCATACTGCTCGTCCAATGTAATCCAAGTGTCCTGAGTGGGTAGCATCCAGAATTTACTCGAAACGAAGTCATTTAGAACGTTTTAGAGCCTAAACAGTAGTGTATAGGATTTCCTAATAGCGCCCCCATGCGCGCTCACGATTCTACGGAAGCCGGCAGACCAAACCGGAAGGAAGTGCGCATTCAGCGTCTGCTCTGCCGATAATGCAAGCGTAGAAGAAGAAATGTGCTGTTTACCTGTGCAAAGAAAGAAACAACGAAAGAAAAATGTCTGAGGACTTCAGTGTTGAGGAAGAGCATGAGTTCTTTGCCGAGCTGAATGCGCTGGTTTGGTCTGCCGGCTTCCGTAGAATCGTGAGCGCGCATGGGGGCGCTATTAGGAAATCCTATACACTACTGTTTAGGCTCTAAAACGTTCTAAATGACTTCGTTTCGAGTAAATTATGGACGCTACCCACTCAGGACACTTGGATTACATTGGACGAGCAGTATGGAGGAATATTGACACGTTTTTGTGGACTTTTGTGGACCTTTCTGTCTCGGGCGCCATAGACCTCCATTATTTGAATGTCAGCAGACAGCAAGAAGCCTCCCAGATCTCCAGATGCATTTGAGATATCAAAAAAGTACTCCAGAGTGTTGTTCAGCGTGGGGGTGAGTAGAAAATGAAGGCTAATCATGTTTTGGGTGTACTATTCCTTTAATGGAAGAAAGAAACCATATCCATGGTTTGATGTAGAAGCTGGACAATGATTGTCATTATTTGACGATGTAATCCCTTGTCTGCGCTATGACTTTAAGAGACATTAGCCTGGTGAGGATACACTTTATCCACAGAGAATTCTATGCATTGCTGGAGTGATTGCTTTGCAAGTGCTGATGGGGACTATCAGATAAAACTGGCAAGGAAAAGCAGAGAGGTGCCAACATGGGGTAGTCCTCTGAGCTGATTCAATCTCACTCAATAAGTATTGACATGCTGCTTTTGCCTGCCAATGGTTTAAACTTGCCCTCAGGCTGCTGGAGTACGGGGCGCACTGGCCATTCATAAAGGCCTTTAAATAAGCAGAGTACATCTTTAAATTTACAGTACTTTCTTTGCTTTTATTTTTTTTCCTATTTCCTCGCCTTATACTCCCCATAACCATTAGTTATTTGAATGACTGGCAGAGCCTGTCAAAGGCACCATTCTCAGCATATCTTAGCCAGAAAATACATCAAATATAGTATGCCGAAGGACTATTCTTTAATTTCAGTCCTTGGTTCTCGCAATAATTTATCATCGAAAAACATTTACTGGATTGACTAGAATTTTCGTTCAGCTAGAGTTTAAATGGTCCGGCTTTTCTATTTTCAGACATTAATGGATTTCATTATTACAGCAACATTGACAGCGGTAAAGAGTATCTGATGACTATACTGAAGGTGATTCTTCTTTTTTAATGCCCTGAATGGCATGGGGAGAGGTCTAAATGGCCCTGGGATAGTTAAAAGACTGCAGGGATCCTTCTGTTATAAAACAAATAAAAGGAGATAACGCAGGTTGAAAGGCATGCAAAGTAAAACTTCCTAGATTACGGCACATCTTCCATTGGAATGGTTATGTTCATTAGGCTGAGAACAACTTCCAGGACAGCAGGAATCTCATGAAATGTTAACAGGGATATCCAGTCAAATGTAAAAAAAGAAAGGTGTATTGTTAAAATCTAATTCACACTGTGTCTGCAAAAAATATACATATATATATGTGTGTGTGTAGGTGTATCTGTTTGTGTGTGTGTTAATGGCGTTAAACTGTGGACTTCTGTGTATGTGGAATATATATGTTTTATAAATGTTTATAAACCTTTAAAAAGACAAAAAATTGAGAGATTATGAACAAATTTTAAAGTTCTGAATATAATCGCTGAATAATACGAGAAAATATGCTGATTTTGTTTTGTGACCTGCTGAAGAGTTGGGGCGGAATGATGTGAAATCTCATTGATTTATTAGATTCTTTATTTTTGAGATGTGTGTTTTTAGGAACAGATAATACAAAATGTATCTTCCCTCTGTTCCTTTTTGTCCATTTATGGAGAAAAAAAAAGAAGATTGTGCAATGACATGACGTGAACAAATAAATAAATGAAATAATAAAATAAATATCTGGATCTGTTTGTTTACAGCAGGAAAAGGGTGCCAACTGCTGTCTGGTTTAATTATAATAATAATAATTCAAATTATCTTATTGCTAAAAGTATACCGTATTTTCACGACCATAAGGCGCACCGTACTAAAAGGCACAGTCTCAGTTATGTGTGCCATTTCTGTATTTAACACACACATAAGGCGCACCGGACTATAGGGCGCGTTTTTTATATACTGGTACATGTCCTCTACTACCTTTAAATACCTCTACTGCGTATTTAAAAATAGAGCGGGGGCAAAACTGAGTATGACTGTGCTTTATTCATGTATTTATTACAAAGTATTAATCAAACCTGGCAGCTGGCCGTGAGATAGACACATCGCAGATGACACAGCGCTGTGATTACTCCTAAATTAACTTAAAATCCTGAAACCTGCCGACGGAATATGTTCGCTTTTATTGCCGGTATCCTGGTGCCTGCAGTTTAAATTGTTTAGATGAAAAACACCTGCCAGCCGCCGCGGTGAGGCTGCTGTTGAAGGGATTTACTGTCGGTGCACCGCTGGTATGTGGGGGTCTGAGCGCCTCCGACAGAAATAGTATAGGCACGATAATAATCTGGATGAACTGACTGCAATTATTAAGTTTTCAGGTGGCCTCTCTCACTTAAAAACATATTAAAACTACTTTATTCCCACTGATCACAGCAAATATAGCTGCAAGATTTAGATTATTTAGATGAAAAAACACCTGCCAGCCGCCGCGGTGAAGAGGAGGAGACCCGGCCCAGAGGCTGCTGTTGAATTAAGTTTTCAGGTAGAAAAATAGAGCGGGAGCAAAACTGAGTATGATTGTGCTTTATTCATGTATTTATTACAAAGTATTAATCATACCCATCAAAGTCATCATCCTCTGTTTCTAAATGAAACAGCTGCACTAAATCAGACATGCCAATTTCCCCTTCTTCGCTGTCAGTCACTTTCCGTGCAGCGCGGCTCCTCAGAAATAATGCCGGCTTTTGCGAAAGCTTGAACAACAGAGCCAGCAGACACGTTATTCCATCTACAATCCATCCGCAAACTGTGGCGTAACTTGCCCGGCGCTGCCTTCCACTTATCCTTACTTTGAACGGCCGCTTCACACCGATGTCGAGCGGTTGAAGTTCCTTTGTCAGACCCCCCGGGATAACAGCGAGCACAGCGTTCATTTGATTCACCTTTTTTTCACATCGGCTGTAAGATGGGCACGCAGCGATTGTGATGCGTGGAAAAAAGCACCTGGTCTCCTCACATACACCTGCCTCAGTCACGCTTTCATCATCTCCTCATCCATCCAGCCCTTTTCATTTGCGTTAATATCATATGTCATCAGAGCGCTGTGTCTGTCTCGCTGTCAGCTCCCAGATCAGCTTCTCTGATTGGTTGATCCGGCGCGTCCAGCAGCAAAACTTCAATTTTTCCATCTCAAGCTGCAGCAGCGCGACGCGCTGCGCCTGCTGCTTAAAACGCGCTGCGGGACCTTTTGCTGCACATATACGCGCGTCAACCATTGACTTTGCATGTAAACTCGCTGCTTCTGCTGCACCTGGTGGGTCCGGTTCACACCGATGTCGAGCGGTTGAACAGCGAGCACAGGGTTAATTTGTTTCCCCATGTTTTTCACATCAGCTGTGAGATGGGCACGCATGGAGTTACATATTAACAGCAATGGTGATGAGTGGAAAAAAAAACACCTGGTCTCCTTACTTTCAGCCACTCTTTCATCATCTCCTCAATGAGGTGGTCTCAAAAGTCGCAGTTACAACACACATAAGGCGCACCGCACCAAAGGGCGCACCGCACATTTTGAGGGGAAAAAAAGACGTTTAAGTGCGCCTTATAGTCGTGAAAATACGGTATTAAAATAAAAGGGGTGTGTTTGTCGCTAACAGACAGAAGGACTATAAAAGCTAGAAATGTATTTAGATGTAGCAAAAAGTCAGATAATTTTAGGCTGAAAGAAAACAGAGGTGATCAAGGCAAAACATGCTTGTCAAGGAGTGATGGGAAATTTATGTTACGTAATCCTTTCTTTAGGGTCTTCTTTATTAACACACATTTCTGTTCATATAAAAGGTTCACATAAACCCAACAAAACCAAGCTTCCTGATACATTTCTTAATTGACTTTCTAAAACATTTTTGGTCATCAGTGTGAAGCGGAGAGTTACAGATTAAGACTGCAGGAGTCTTATTACAAAAGGTATCTTTCAGAACTCTCTGAGTGTCAGTTAATTACTGCGCATGTTCAACTAATTAACTAGTTCTCAAATTTTAACATGTCTGTTTAATTAAATCAATTTTAAAGGTTATGTACAGCTTAGCAGGTAATTCTTTCACTACAGCATGCCATCCTAATTTTATATTCCAGAGTTCAAAGCAATGCAAAACACAATACAAATAACTAATTTTGATTATGCTGAACTAATATTTAATAATATATAATATTTACAACAAAAATGTAGGACTTTTTTATCATAAGGACAATAGTTTGCTTTTGTCTCTGTTATTTATTATTTGCATTAATCCAGTGAAATTCAAAAACATCTTTACAGAAAACAGTAATTTTAAGTAATTTCCCTCTGGGACTATTAAATTATTTCTGATTCTAATTCTGAACAGTTTCAGGAGTTAAGTATTTAAGGTGCCGGACAAAATGATGCATACCCATTGAACATATTGAAATTTTGTCAGTCACATAATTCCATGTATGTCTATGTTGAAATTAATTAGCTTTTCTAGAGGCTAAAAATATCCCTTTTCTTTTGGGAAAACAGCTTTGACTGAGTCAGATTGTATAGAACTTGTCAATGAACATCAACATTCCCATGTTGCCACAATTTTTAGTGGATTAAGGGATGTACTTTAACTAGACCATTGTTATACTTACTTCCAAGAAGACTGCCACATCAGCTTCAAATCTATTTCAACCTCTAACATTATTATGTCAAGTTTCTCTAGCTTTTCAATGAGGGGGGGCGTATTAGGGACAATGTGTGTTTAAGTATTTATCCATACATACCGAAAATGTTCCATTTCGTCTCATATGACGAGATCACCCTCTTCCACATCTCTTGTGGAACCTTTTTTACCTTTTTTTATTGTCTGGCACTGGATTTAATTTAGGAGGGTCAGATTAAACCAAAATGTTGTTTGTGTTACTTTCCACTTCATATCTTTTTGTTACTTCAGCTGGTTCATCATTTACAATCTTGATGAAAATGCACAGAGTTTGTGGTTTGAATGGTTTGAGGATTATCAGTACATCTAGAAGATGTTCCCATCACTTTATTGTCAATTTTTTTTTTTTTTTAGCCATTATAGTTCAAAGAGTTAACATTTTCATTTCATTTTCGTGGCTGAAAAAAAAAATAAAACTCCATAATTGGATAATTAAATATTTTCCACTTGAACCAACACTGCAAATAGCATCAGCATCAATGAACATAGCCATATGACATGTCTATTTGAGAAAGTTATTATCCCTCTACCACACTTGTCTTAGTGAGGGGGTCGGTGGAGCGTTTCTTTGTAAAAATAAAATGGTTTTGTGCTTTTCTCAGCACAACCATCCATTGCAGGAATACAGCAAATAATCAAAAAGTAAATTGGGTTCAATCTGAGCTTATGTTGCTCAAAGCATGCAGGCAGCAGGTGCTTCTCCATTTCACCACTTTCCCCAAGCCTATGCCTGGTAATAAATAACTGTATTCCATCTGACAGTGCTGAGGATGCAGCAGGTCAGAGGGTGACGTAGTTCAAGGATGGGGGTAATCTATTATTCTAATAATCCGCCGCGGCAATCAATGGCCCACTGCAAAAAGCTGCATACTGAATCTCCCTGCTCCATTTCTGCATGTCTTTCTTTGCTTTTGTTTATTAGTAGTATTATTCATAGTGCGTTTTTCTGTATATTTTGATAAAAACATTTCATATTTCTATTGCGGCACCTCAGAATTACTGCAGCTCCTTGCATGTCTTCCTTCGGACTGTCTAAGCTCCAAAGCATCTCATATAGAGAATTATTCATTGGACACAAATGGAGAAGGTGGTATTTTTAGTTTGCAACAGCTGAATTATTCATTGCATTCCTCCAGCTACGGGCCAGTGGGACTGCTTAACTAAAGGATTACCTTGAGGTGGGGAAACCCTCCATAATACAATAAAATCCTGCACTAGCCGTGATCTTTAGAACCTAAAATATCAGCATACCTGCACAGACAAAAAAGGATTATGTCGATTTTGCTCACATTTTATTCTGTAATCGTCTTTGTCCTGAAGACCTTTCTTTGGTGATCTAAGTAGTTTTAACTCAGCAAGCATCCTCATCGTAAAATATAAAGTGACATTTGACAGCAGAGGTCATTTTATTTCACTGCATGACGGCCGCTATCCTGCAGCTTTGCCTCCAGGTTCCTCCAAGATTGGCAGGATGTTTTAGAGAAGAAAGGTCATGATTAGTTTCCTGACTGGCTTCAGTCCAGACTGGCCGTGTCATCATTATGGCTTTGATGAGCATCCTGTGCTGACATCATAGTATTTCTTACACGGTGCTACATAGGAAGGCTTTTTCAAAGAAAAGGCAAGGACCCCAAGGAGAAAATAACATGCTTAAGTGATTTTTTTTGCTTTTGTAAAAGCTTAAGGGTGACTATACCCCAAGAAACCTTTTCTTGAACGGCTCATTAGGGAGACATTTGGTCTTAAAACACTGGGAATAGGTGGTTCATGGAAAGATGTTTGCGGCTAGAAATAAAAGGCTAAAGCAGAGTGCATCAAATTAATACAGAATCATTAGTAACATCTGTATTAATTAAAATTAGACATAATAACAAAAAAAAGCTCAATAATGTTAGACTTCGAAAAGTTGATCCTTGTGAAAATAAAGGGAAACTTCTGAAACCATTGACGAACCATTTGACACATTTTCCTTTCCTGTGATTGCATAACCAGATGCAGAAATGAGGCCATGCTGTGCTGCGAAAATGACTGAACAATTCCCTTCAAAACGCAGCATTTTAGAGGAGAGAATTCATTTGAAAATAGTCCTAAACTCATTTTGGAGCATGTTCTTCTGCCCCACAGGTATCACTTACATAAGAATGATGGGTAAGTGTACAAAATGTGTCAAAATGTTATATAACCAGTTGACTCACAACCGCTGAAACATTTGGAAGCTGCAGCCTCTGAATGCACCACTCACTGTTGTCGCTGTTCTCGTCCTTGCTGCCGTCGATTGTCCCATCCGGCTGCATCTGCAGGTAGAAGCCCTGCTGGCTGAACAGTCTTGTCACAATGCCTTTCAGCTGTGGCTCTGAAACATACAAACACACACACACCCACACGGGCAACACACACCGCACACATACACAACCACCAGTGGCAAAGCCACGGCAGCAAGCCCAACAAGAATATGTCAGATCAAAAGTCACACCATAATAGAAAACATTTGAATTATAGGACTGTCAGACACAAATATCATTCTGTTATTCAAAATGCTGAAATCATCAAAAAAATGAATCACAAATGGATTTTGAGTATTATTATCTACCACGCATTGCACTGTTTGTGAAAGCCAGCGTTCAGGTAAGAGTGATTTGATCACCTTTACTATATTTTAGAACCGTTTTAGAGCAATTCCATTATCATTAAGACCCCTGGTGAAGGTGCAGAGCCTTAAAATATGCTGTCCATCGCCAGCAATGTTCATGGCATCAGTTGAAGTTTCTGCCAGCCTCGTTTAGTATACATCACATGTTTTAATCTTTAATTGTTACTCTGATTGTTGATGTGGGCAATTTTGATTGTAGATATGAAAGATATTTTTTTTCTTCTTAAAACACAAAGAATTAATGTACCACTTTTTTTTATTTGGTTAAATTCATTTAATTTCATTTTTTTTTCCAAAGTACAAAAAAATTCTAATTTAACGGTTCGATTAAAATTTTTTCATTGTGGACTTGCATCAAAGACATATTTTTCAAGGCTTTTCTACACCAGGAGTCCAACGATGTCATTGTTTAATTACAAGAAAAAAAAAAGAAGTAAAAATTTCTAGGTGTAAATATTTTTCATAAAAAAAAACATTACATTTTCATACCAGAAGAATAGACGAGCAATCGCTCCAGGGCTTTTTTCACCTTGACTGAATGAATTACCTAACCTTCAGCTTTCACAATGTAAAAGTAATTAAAAGCGCTAAACATTTTAAGACATACATTTCCGTCTTACCAGCTGTTGAACAGTTTATATCATCTGCCGCATCACTTATCGTAAAAACATGAATGATTGCACACTTTAATAATAATACAACATTCGTGTAAATGCATATATTCTTCAGAGGTTTACTGCAGCTGATAAAGTGAGTGAAAAATTTATGTTTTATATCATTTTGAGTTGCTTTTAAAATGAAATCTTAAGCATCTGTAGTTACAGAATTAATTTGGCTAATCTGTTTTATTTTTTTACATGTTTGGTTTTCTTTTTAAACAGTGCAATAACCCTAAACCGACCTCCACTTTGAAGGGTTGGGCTTCTGACAGGTCGTCAGAGTGCTGCTCAGAGCTCTTCACCCCCTCGAAGTGAGCAGGTGGAAAGAAAATTAGCTTAGGGCAACAAAAGCCTTAAGGCCCCTCTGATACCAGGAGAAAAAGAACAGTACAAGTGTATAAAACCATCTTTATCTAAGAGAAAGTGTACAGCCGTAGTCTGTTCCCTTCTCAAAAGCTTTTTGATTCTTGTGTAAAACACAGACCAGTACAACTGTGTAAAAAGAAGAGATTTTGGCTCCTCACAGGGCAGTGAGTGGGAAAAGTATTTTGTTACATTTTTATATAGTGAATTGATTTTTAGTTTTTGATAACCTTATAAAAATATTAGAGCAGCATAAAAATGTCTTTTTTTTCTTCCAGTAGTTCTTATGCAGTGACTGGGAATTAATAATTTATAGAAAAAAATAAAATTTAATGAGAGTAGGTGTGTGGTAGAGGAGTCTTTATCGCTATGCAATGTTGTAGTAAATAGCTATGATAACCGCCAAAAGTTGTTTTCCACTGGCATAGCAAATTGGGGCAGCCTTTCACTCAACCTAGACGCTCAACTCTGTTACTTGACCCCCAAATGAGTTTTCTGTATGTATTGTTTTCAATTCTAATTATTTATGACAAAGAACCACAGTTAAGATAATGAAAAATAAAAAAACAGCCAAACATAGTAAGTCCCTTGCTCTTGTGTGAAGCAAATATTGTTTATTGTTCTTTTTGAGAACATATCTTTGTTTCTTTGTCTTTGTACAAAACTTTGTATCCATCAAACAGAAAATACTGTGCACTGGGTGGAAAAATATGTGTCTGTATAGATTAACTACACCAAGTGAAATGATTCAAACCTTTGTACACTCATTATAATGGTTTATTGGTAATTAAAACTGAGATGTATGTGTTTCATAAAATTATATTACTGCAAAAGAAATGTTATACAGATGTTTTAGGTTTGTAAAAAAAATGTGTTTAATTCTATGCTCTTAATAGTTGTTTGGGTCTCTGTTTGTATGAATTACTGTATCAATGCGGTGTGACATGGGGACTACTTTGATAGTGGCACTCAGGTCATGTGCCTTGGGTCTGATGTGTCTCATCTTTGTCTTGACTTTAACTCCTAGATTATGTAAAGGTTTTAAGTATGGTACATTTGCTGGTCAGTCGAGCACACAATGGTCATTGTGCCAGAGTGGGCAGAGGCTAATTCCTGTTGGAAAAGGAATTTAGTATCTTCATAGTATGCCAGCTGGAGTCAGCAGAGGGAAGCATGATTTGCTCCAACATTTCTATATAGTCATCTTAGTGTAATGTGGACCCACACCAGCAGAATAAATGGCCACTGATTGGGATTGTTTGATAGTCCAATTCTTTTTCTCCTTAGCTAATATAAGATGTTTCATATGTTGACTCTGGTTATGGGGTGGCTTTATAGAGGAATAAGACATTTGTAGCAGATGATTGGGATTATCTCTATACCTTGCAGCTCCTGATGCACTGACTCTAGGCTCAGTCCACTCATAGTAAAGCTCTTGAACTGATCTGTCATAAAAATCCTACCAAGGTATTGGTTAGTCCTTCTTATTGGACGTTTTTCTATAACACTTTCTTCTTCCACTTAACTTAACTTATAATAACTGGTTGATAGCAGACAAATATCTTCAGCAATTAACTTTTGAGGAAAGTCCTTTTTAGAGGATGTCAATGGCTATCTTCTAAACATCTTTTAGATCAGCAGGTTTTCTTAGAAGTATGTCGCCTACTGACACAAAATGAGAGCTAATTTAGAGGCTTAAGAAACCTTTTCAGGTGTTTTGACTTAAATAGCTACATTGGGTATGACACAAGGAGTTTTCAAACCTAAGTTTTTCATTTCATACATTTTAGGTGGACCTGAAATGTTTATTTTTAAGTGTGCAACTATAAATTAACTCTCTCATTTAAGTGTTATATTTCTTTTTACTTTTTCACAATATTTAAATTTCAGTGTACCTGCAGAATGTGTGTTGCAGCTAAGAAAGGTGTTGAGAGAGATGCATTGAACTGAGAACTTGCATATTTATTGCCTACTGATCGAAAAAGTTAAAATTCTTAAGTTTCCAGCTGGCCTATCACTATGATCAAGCTAAAATCACCTGACTCAAATCTTCGGTCTATCATATAAATGTTTAATTTATATCAGAAATGTTACAGTCATTTGATAGACAGTTCATATTGTTTCATATAGCTGACAAAATGTCACAAAGCCCCTCAGTGGTTGCTTTGTAAGTGCATTTGCTCTGAAAAATTAAGTATTTAGTAGGATTTAACAGATATGTTGTAGCTAGATTATCTTCCAAGGTCACATCAAAAGTGGTAGGACACGCAATGAATTAAAGTATCCAAAATTATTTAGAAAAAAATAATATTTTAAGGCTTGATTTCTTGAGAAGGAAAGGCAGGTTAAGTCTGATCCCCATGCAAGAGCAATAACAGATGAGATCTGCATCAAAGCGGATTGCTTCAATAATTACAAGTGTGGGAGATTTATTCATACTCTGAGAAAAAGGGACAAGTGAATGGAGAGGGGAACAAGCTGAAAGAGTTAGCTAAGTGGTGACCCAGAGCAAGAGTAGGTTTCCGTCTGCTCAAATGTACATCATGCCTGACCATCAATTCCCAACTCACCTACCCCTGGGTTAGGACCATCAATTCATAGGACAGGCCCTTCATCATCCATCATGGGCAGGTTGAGGAGAATGAGAGTGTGTGCGCATGTATGTGTGGGAAAGCACATGGGAGTGTACACATCAGTAAATCACATGTGATAACTATACTTCTATAAATTACAGCAACAGTGCAGCCCAGAGCATTTGCTGACAGCTCATCAGTTCCAGTCATTTAGCAGAGAGCATGCCTACTGTACATATGAATGTGTAGGTGGGTGGGTGGGTGGTTGTGTGTGTGTGAGTGTTTGCAGGTGCAAACGGATTCCTGTAGCTGATGTTTTTGAGTGAGAAATGACTTTAAATGACAACAAACTTAAGGTCATTGTATGAGTGTACGGACCATCAGAACAACAATAAGTTGACTTCATACCAATACAGAAAGACAAAGACATTCAGGTACACCGACGAATGGCATCATGACCATGGAATGGTGAATGATCACCTGCTCTGATATCGTATTTAACAATAAAAGACACATTATAGTCATTTCCACCGATGTACACACAGTATAAGTTCGTACTCCACTTACACAGTTGTAACAAACACGTATTTACAGACACATAACGAGGGACAAGGATAAAGACTGAGCCGACACTGACTGGCGGAGAGAATGAGACTGACGGGAAATGAGGAGAGGCAGAAAGAGTGAGAGCAACAGACGACCTGCTGGGGGAGAGCTTGAGCTGGTACGGGTTTGGGGAAAAGGTAAGAAATTAATCTTAAAAACTGGAAGGAAAAGGCCACACAGAGGGAGGAATGAAGAAGAAGAAGAAAATCAGCGAGGGAGAGGGTCGTCGGCTGTCAGACAGGTGTTGAGCCCCCCCCCCATCCCTTCCATTCCCCTTTTTTTTTTCTCTCACAAACACCCAACCCCTAACCACCCACCCCCCCTCCCTGGCCGAGGAGATCGTCGACATGGGCGCGAGATGGAGTGGAGACGAAGAGAACACAGCAAACACGGATGGAGGCTGAGCTACTGACCTAGCCTGCAGCCCTTATGGGACACCTGTGGAGGTTTCAAGGGTGCATCTTACGAAGGGGGGAGGGGAGGGGGAATAAAAGGAAAAACAAAAGTCTTTTAAACAGGCAGAATTTATCAGTTCTCCAGTATATCTGCTATCATATATGGCAATGCATCAGTGTAAATGTAATGACCATCAAACAGAAAAGACACAGAATATTTGCCTTTCCTGCCTCCCTAATTTAAGCCTCAAATTTGGATCAAAATGAATTACCAACCAGTTTTAATGATACCTAGAAGTTGGATGAATTTGTCCTCTTTATAGTTACTGATAATTCGGGAAATTTGAGGCACTACGGGCATAAATATTGTTTGCTGGGGCTGTTAGACATCATGGTTTAATAATTATGGCTATAAAAGGAGAAAAAGGGGTTGTCTGCCTCTCTTGTCCTCTTACTCTGCCTTAAAAATTGATGTCTGTCTGCCTTATCTCTCGGCAGTCTGTCAACGGGACTGTGAGTGGACCGAACTGTAGCTCATCGCACAACAGAACTATCTGGATGAAGGGGTGGGGGGCTAGAGTGCTGGAGGAAAAGGGAGAGGAGGCGATGGTGACAGGCACGACTCAGCTGTTATCTGTGCACCATGCAGGGCATAAACAATAGGAATCAAAAAGGATGAAGGCTGGACCTCTAAGTTTGTTTTGGGAACAGAGGCGACGGGTACGTCAGTACAGCTCTCAGTGGCAGAGGGCTATTCCTCCCTTCGCTGCAGTAAAACTCCCTCTGCAATAAACATTTACCATTAAAAACATTTAATCTCAAAAGAGCCTTGGTGCACTGCGGTGCAGCTTATCTCCCTACTATACCCCAATCTGCATTAATATTGAATTAGGTCATTTAAAGCAGCTTTTATTCTGTGTCTTGAATTTGCCATTGTACTATTTGGGCTCAGTATTGGTGGCGAGGGTGGGGTGCATGAGAGTGGGTGGGGGTTTATCTGTCTACATGTCTGAGGGTATAAAACCTTAGGTTTTTCAAAGGAATCTGTTGTCTTTAACAGCAATATCATTTCAACATAAGGGATTATTCACAATGGAGTTCTGTCATAATGAAGAACGTCACAGGAGACAGCAAATGCTTTGTATTCAGACAGCTCCTGTGCTGGAAGGACTGACAGATTACAAGAGGGACCTACAGTAATGAAACAGGTGGATTTTTTTTTTTTTTTTTTTTTTTGTGCTAAAAATCAACATTCTCAGCTTAAAGCCCCTAACTGCAGTATAATGTTTCTGCTACTCAAAGAGCCAAAGAGGGGCGGGTTGTGCAGGGGATCTGAATTAAATGGGGGTATTGGGGTTCCCTACATATACACAACACACATCTGCATCTGTAGGAAAGCAATATATTGTCCCCACTGACCTGGTCGCCGCCGAACGGGTCTTTTCTTGCCGCTGCAGAAACGGACTTTGCTGAAGACCCCCAAGAAATGTCTCTCGCAGAGAGAGCGGGGGTCTTTGCTGGGGCTGGGGCGACGCTTTGAGGTGGAGACACGATCGCTGTTGGATTCCCTGGCTTGGCGTTTCTGCCGGATCAGGGAGCTGGCGATAGCAGCCATCTGCCCGAACCCAGTCCGCAAACAGAGAGTCTATAGTCGCCGCCGGTAGCAGGTCGGATCTGGAAGCGTTGTATTCTGGCACAGCGGGGGGAGAAGACGTCGCTCGTTGGTCTCGGTCCGCCGAGAGTTGCTTTTTTTTTTTTTTTTTTTTTTAACTAAATGTCATCCTGATTAGAAATGCCTGTGAGTCCCGCGCATCGCTGCATGTCACGCACCGTCTTTCAGGAGACAGCTGCATGGAACTGATCTGAGTTCCGATCGGAGCCAAAAATCAGCAATCTCCGACCATGCAACAAACCGCTGGGGGCCGATATATGAGTGTGGAGAACATGCAACAGTGCTGGGAGGTCGGTGCAGCTGCGTTTTCATCAGAGAGCTTCAGTTTTGCCCGATTCCTGCTCTGCACAGCTGTCCGTCATATGGATCCTAGACGCCTCTTTAATCCTGGCTGTCCATCTAAACCCAAGTAATGCCTCTTCTTGCAAAAAATAAAAAAAAAATATGAAAAGAAACACAAGGATGTCCAAACTTTTTTTTTTTTCCTCCTTGTGTCACATCGTTGCCTCCATGCACAGTGAACAATGAAACCGCCCGCCGCTGGTTCAGACAGAAACACACATATGTGAACCAACCGGGTTCCGTCGTTGGCACCTCTAAACGCAGTCTTGGGGAAAAATGGAATCGGCAGCAGACTGCAAGGATGCTGCAGCGCAGGGGGGAGAAAAATGAAGCGGGGAGCGATTTGTGTCTGAAGAGCAACAATTAGTTTGAAGCAAAGTCTTCTCTGTGTGTTGCAAAAATAATGAAGGTTTTCTTCCCCATTGCGTCCAGAATGAACGCAGTAGGTGTATTACATAGCCGATGACGGGACTCTCTCCCCCTCTCCCACTCTCTCTCCCTCTCTCCCCCTCTCTCTCTAACTCTCTTAACGCAATCATACGTGATTAAGGTTCGTATAAGGAATTCAGGGTTTTTTTTTCACATAGAAAGATTAATTATTTCTCGGTGAAGATGTAGGACTAAATAGCAGGTCAAAATCAAAAAGGTAAAATGTTAAATAAAAATAAAAGAGTCCCTTAAGAGAACCTGCATCATTTTCAGTCCGTTAATAGGCTAAAGAATCTGATGCCAGCTACTGATTACCACTTCTCCTAATTTGCCAATCATCATAACTTCACTAACTCATTCATCTTAGATTTTGCAGAGAGAAAACTGCAAGACTCCTTACAATAGATTTGGGTCATTATAAAGCACATTTAGCCAATTGAAGATTAATTCAATGATAAAACACACAAATAGATACTGCAAATAATAAATGCATCAAATGCCTTACTAAATGAAATGTCATGTCATTTAAAAATCAAAATGTTACAAACCTGCTCCTTAGGTTTAACCATCTCTTTGGTACCTGTCACCCCTCATTTGTGTTTTTTGTTTTTTTTTTCCATTTGGCTTTAAAGTTTCTTTTAAAAGTATTCATACCCAGAAGAGTTGTTCAAACCTGAAGCTGAAATCATCAGCATATTTAATTTTTCTTTTAATCTTATATGATTGAACAGATCATAGTAATCGTGATACTTTAAAATTATAATTTTTTACTATTGGAAAGCTTGCGCCTAACTCTAATTGAAATTAATTTGGTATCAAATGCCTTGAGCAGTCATCAGTTATGTAATCTGAGTCCAGAGAATTAACTTGATTATTGGTTCCTAGCAGGGTTAAGTTATCAAACTATATTTCAAGCAAAGATCTCACAGAACACTTCTCAATCAAACATTCAAAAGGTGAAATAATGTACTAAATTCCATCCAAGATGTCCATCCAATTAACAGTGTGGGCAAGGTGAGAATTAACTATAGGCTCACAGTAAATTAAGAGGGGCTGCAGAGATCTACGTTCATCTGGTGGATTCCGTTGATGAGGCAACTGTTGGTTGTGCTCTTCAGAAATGTAGCTGTTATAACAGAATGGTAAGAAGAAAGCAAATGTTGCAACAAAACTATAAGGAGTCATTTTTATAGTTTGAGTGGTGAATGACAAAAGTGCTCTGGTAAAAAAAAAAAAGACCAAAATTTAACTTTTTGATCCACATTTAAAATGCATGGTGTGCCAGAGAAATATCTCAGCATTACACCCTAAACAAGGTGGTGTTAACATGCTGGTGTGAGACTTTAAAAGCCAAATGGAGCTAAATATAGGGGGATCCTGAATCCCAGTCTGTTATTGACTAGAAAAGACTTAAAACTGTAGTAAACCTTTCTCTCTCAGCAAAACTACAACCCCATACAGCTACAAAGGTAGAGCTTAGATCAAAGGATGCACATGTCATGGAGTACACCAAGCAAAGAACACAACAAAAGACATTTCAGAGCTTTTGACAAAACATCCAATTCGGCTAAGCTTGGACAATATTTACTTAGAAGGAAAATATTATATAAATATCAGTCTCAAGATCTGCAGAGCTGTAAGACAAAAACTTTGCAGATTAAAAAAAAACATTTTACTTTTATAAAAGTAGAAGTATACTTCACAATTGCTATCTGTACAGAAGAAAAACTAATCATATCTAATGGGCAAACCAAACCCCACCAGTTCAAGGATACCTCAAATACAATACCAAAATTCTCAGATTGAGAACTGCATGTGTATAATATAAGAGCCCCTGCAAACACGTTCTAAATATAAATGCAATTTAGTATAAAATCCTGCAAAATACAGACCAATAAAAAAAACTAATTTCCAGAGTTTGTGGCATCATCTCGTGTTTGTTCTTTCACAGAAGCAAAAAATGGAGGACACACGCAAAAGGACAGCAAGCCCTCCACATCCCCATGATGAAACAACATGAAACATTTAAAGGGTGACTTTGTTTGACATTGTCTATCCAGACCAAATCCCTTCAGCAGCAAGATCAGGGCAAAAGATTTTTGATTAATTTCTATAATATTTAAAAGACATTAAATGTTAATAAAAAGCTTGAGCCCTCCTTAGTTTTTCACTTGATTTCAAAGATGTAAGTGATAGCAAAGCAGACAGATAGAAAAAGCTAGATAGAGATACAGAAAGACTGTATCCCTATGGATAAACTATTTCCCTTTCAACATTAATAAATAAACCTGCTGGAAATGCTTAAACTGAGCAATTGGTATCTGAAAAAACATTCTCTCACACGCTTTCTATTACGGTATATCACACTGCAGGTTAGAGACATAATTATGCCACTGCAGTATAAAGAAATATATCAATAATTAATTCTATAAACAACCTTAATTATTCCTCACTGTGTTCAACAGCGTGATATACAGTGCCTAGACAGGCTGCATTCTGAAGCACAAAGGGAACATCTCAGAAATAAGTGGAACCTTGTCGAGTCTGAGAGCTACATGTGGACATTTATCTTTGTCAGGAAAAGATAAAGTATTCCCTTTCACAAATCTGCTTAGCTTTCTTATTCTACTGTAGACAATTAGTATTTGTTTCCCCGAGAGATTTGAACCACATCATCAAAGCCTTTCAGATCCTTTTTAATGCAGAAAAAATACATATCTTCTTAAACGTATAAATGCTTCATTCTATATTAATTATAATTTCAAATATGCCAAACAAAGAATAAGTAGAAACGTTATTGTCTTTGTTTGGGATTTGGCTGTTAGGATTTTGTAATTAACTAACTCATTAACTAATGAATTCATCCATCAAAAATGTTTTTCAGCACACTTGTGGTCTTTTCAATTAGTCCACCAACTAGCTTGTTTTCGTCTGCTGCCATCTTGTGGTTAAAAGAACAAAGCACAGCATGATAAGAAGGGGGAAAAGTACATGTTCCAACTTTTAAGTTTGTCACTTCCGAATGTCCTTGAAATACCTCACAGATTTGTTGACTCACAATAGCTGAAAGAGATTTCATGGCGTAATGTCTGCTGGACTTTCTCACTGGACTTGTAGGAAGCTGAAGTGTTGTAATGTGATAGAATGAAAACAATCCCACTGCTCAGACTGCTTGTTCAACACACTTCAAAAGGCAATATATAAACCATCACATAAAGCACATTTAAAGTAGTCTGTCAGTGCAAAAATGAATCCAAGATTCAAAGCACAATTTTGCAGATAGTTGCTATGCATAAAGCAAACAATGTTGGTTGACCAGACTTTGTTCAAATTAAAAACTAAAATTTGTGCCAAGCCTTTATATATTTTTACCACTTTACTCTGATAACCCTTCCTTCCCTATCCACCTGTGTGTAATGCAATTTCAGTCTGATTACAGCGGTCATGTGAAGGCTGTTGAGGTTTGGTGGTGAACCAAACAGAATTACTAAGACCATGGAACAAACCAAATGATTAATGATTAAAGCTGTGCAAAGGTTTAAATCAGGGTAAGGTTATAAAATTATATGCTATTCATTGATTATCTCAAAAGACTGTCATAGCCTATGCAGGGAGCACATAAAACATGGCAAAGGTGCTCTGCAAATAAATACATATAAAAAGCACCTGTAATTACAGCAAATGAACATGTATTATCTACAGATTACTGACACAGTAAACAAGTCCGAACAGTCTTTGTTGGTTTATCACTACACTGAAAATTTGTTGTTGTAAAATGACAAAAATACCTCATGATAATAAGCTAAGAATTTCGTAAAAGTAAAATAATAATAATAATTAAAGCCACAAGTGGCATTGAGCGGCCCTCGCAGCTCGCACCGCCTGGTATGTTGCGACCGCGGGAACCAAGCGACCTCCACCTCCATGCTCCTTCCCAGCCTATGCTCCTGCTCTTCAGCATATGCCTGCTGCTGCTTCTCTTCATCCTCCCCCTCCTTCTCGTTCTGCTGCTGCCACTGTTTCTTATCCTCCTCCTCCTGCAGCTTCTCCTCATCTTCCTCATCCTCCTGCTAATGCAGCTTCTCCTTCTGCTGTCGCTCTTGCTGCATCTCCTTCTCATCCTGCTGTCGCTCTTGCTGCATCTCCTTC